AGTAGCTGGGACTACAGGCATACACTACCACACTCAGCTAATTTTGTAGAGATGGGGTTTCACCATGTTGTCCAGGCTAGTCTCTAACTCCTGGGCTTATGCAATCCTCCCACCTCAGCCTCCCAAAGTACTGGGATTACAGGTGTGATCTACTGTGCCTGGCCAATTCAGAGAATTGATTTAATGCACTGTGCTTTGTGATTGTGCCAACAGTTTCCATTAATGGGATTTGGGTGTCACTCCTTATGACACATAGTTCCCACTAGGCTCACTACATCATCTTTATGAGGAAACTGTATTTCTCTCAGGACTAAAATTCAAGAAAAACTACTTCTATAAAAACAAAACAGCCGGGCACGGTGGCTCACGCCTGTAATCCCAGCACTTTGGGAGGCCGAGGCAGGTGGATCACCTGAGGCCAGGAGTTCGAGACTAGCCTGGCCAACGTGGTGAAACCCCGTGTCTATTAAAATGCAAAAATTAGCTGGGCATGGTGGTGGGTGCCTGTAATTCCAGCTACACGGGAGGCTGAGGCAGGAGAATTGCTTGAATCCTGGAGGCAGAGGTTGCAGTGAGCTGAGATCGCGCCATTGCACTCCAGCCTGGGCGACAAGAGTGAAACTCCGTTTAAAAAAAAAAAAAAGGCTGGGCGCAGTGGCTCACACCGCCAGGCACAGTAGATCACACCTGTAATCCCAGTACTTTGGGAGGCTGAGGTGGGAGGATTGCATGAGCCCAGGAGTTAGGTAATCTCAGCACTTTGGGAGGCCGAGGCGGGTGGATCACCTGAGGTCGGGAGTTCGAGACCAGCGTGACCAACATGGAGAAACCTCGTCTCTACTAAAAATACAAAATTAGCCGGGCGTGGTGGTGCATGCCTGTAATTCCAGCTACTCGGGAGGCTGAGGCAGGAGAATCGCTTGAACCCGAGGGCCAGAGGTTGCAGTGAACTGAGATCGCACCATTACACTCCAGCCTGGGCAACAAGTGCGAAACTGTGTCTCAAAAAAAAAAAAAGAAAACCAGTTTTTATCTTATGAACAGTAAAAACCTCAAAATGATTGTTATTTCCTCTTTTCTATGGTTATTCAACAGCTTAGTTAGGGTGACATTTCTGGCCTACTTCTGACAACTGTTCTGGATCTGATGGAGTGCAAATTTAAATGTTAATCTTATCATTGGCCATATCATTCTCCTTCCATTAAGCTCTCCTTTACTTGGTTCCTTCCCCTATTTTTTAAATCTGGTAATGTCTATATTTTAGTAAGCTGGCTCAAATCATTTGTGGAAGAAGGTGAGGTAGAACTACTTGTATAAAGATCAACTCAGTAATTTATATAGGCTGTATTTGGACCAATTTCTGTGAATTCATTTTTCAGGCAAAAAATGACTGACAGTTGAAACATTTTATAAATGAGACAGAGTTCTCAGGGTCAGGGTGAGCACAATGAAAGTGTTCTGTTGAAAGTTATCCTTTTATCTGTGTTCTTTCTAGCCCAACATTTTGAATATTCTCACTGTCTTCAAGCCAGAAATGCAAGGGAGGGTGGGAAGAGAAGAAAAAAGAACTGTGTGATTATAAAATCTTTATTGTTGGCATATGAAGCAATATAAGTAGCAAATTTTACTTCTACAAAGGGGGCAAATTATATCTTTCTATACATGTGGAAGAGTAGATATTCAGTTAAGATTTATTGATAATTTACTGTGTAAAGAAATGTACTAAATACTATAAAAGTGACTTCCTGTGTTTACTACCCCAAAATGTTCCTACTAATGGGGTCAAGAAGACCTGAGATTACCAACTCCTTTTCCACCTATTAACCTTTTGCCACATCTTCCCCAATTTTCTCATCCAAACCCAAGTTGGGGCAACTTCAGACTGTAAGCTCCTTGAGGTTTGTCTTATTTGTCAGGGGAGCTTGTACTCGATAAATGAAATTTGCATGAATGAGTCAGAGATGTATGTACACAGGGGAAGAAAGCTGGTTATAGCTTCTTCACATTTTTCACGTGGACCCAGAGTTGTAAATGGAGGGAAGGATAGCAGAGTAATCTCAAAGCACAAAGTGGGGGTGATGTCTTCATGGGCCCTCAGCAGCAACGGGGCACTGGGTGCCTAGGAAAGGCCATCTGGAGGAGACATCGGGAAGTAGAGGAATTCTGTTTTTTCCCCTCATCTGCCTAGCATTTAAGGTCAGCTAAGAGGCTAGAAGGAACACATCCACGGTTCTGCTTTAGAGGATATGAAAATTGGGCTGGAAGGAACACGGGTCCACAGTTCGAGTTCAGAGGATATAAAAACTGGCTTAAATAAACTCGGGTAAATTAGACATGAAAACTAGCGGGAAAGGACACGTTCATTGTTTGTTTCCCTACTGAGTCACCTGTTCCCAGCACATAAAGTCGTGGTGTTTGGAGATGGGAGGAACCGAGGGAAAGTCACTTTTTAGATAAGGCTCTGAAGCCCCAGGTCTAGTTTCAATCCACAAATGCGGCCAGCGGAGAGCAGGAGGAGGGAGGATTGGTCCGGTGGGGGATTCGGGGGCGGGGCCAGAGCGGGGCTCAGAGGCGTGGCCCAGGCTAGAGGGACGAGCCCAGGCGGAGCGTAGAGGCGTGGTCAGGAGGGAGAGGGGGGTGGGGGCGTGGCCCAGGCGAGAGGGGCGTGGCCGTAGCTAAAGGGGTGCGGCCAGGGTGGACGGCAGAGACTGGCACGGTTTGGGCGGGCGTGACCAGGGCGGTACGTGGGGATGTAGTGGGGCGTGGATCTGCCAGGTGGGGGCGTGGCCTCGGTTGAGGGGCGCGGCCCTGGTATGTGGGGCGTAACAGGGCATGAGGGGGCGTAGCTCTGATGGGCTGGCGTGCAGGCTGCGGATCCCCGGAGACGAGTTAGCGGCTAGGTTCGTGATCTGGAGAGACGCTCAGGTAAGGACGGGTGGCCGAGAGGAGTGGGGCGACAAGGGGCAGGCCGATCCAGACAGGGCCGAGATTCTTCCCACCACTTCCCGCACCGGCGCACCGGGTTCCGGAGCTAGGAGAGCTGTTGATCCTGCGAGTATTGTCTGGTTCCCGGCAGGGCGCCCCGGAGTACTGAGTGGGGCCTAATGGGGTATGGAACTCCCCCACCTCAGCCCTCTTCCTCCACTATGGGAGTTACCAAACGGCTATCATCCTTTAAGGTTCTTTGCACAGGACGCGATAATAGCTGTTCCAGAGAAAAGGGGGTGGGCGAGGGCAGTTCCTTGGTAGGTAGGGTTGCCAAGGTTGGTTGAATCCAAATAACTCCAGAAAGTCCAGCCTGCTGTGAATAGCTAGAGACGGGGGTAAGGGCAACAAATCTGAGGTTGCGGTTCCAGAAACCGAGGCGCAGTAAACTGGGACTCCCTCAGATCTGCATTGTAGCCGCACCGCCCACTATGCTAGGGGCTGTGGAGAGACACAGCCACCCACCCCCAAGATAGGGGATCAGCATCACAATTGTGCCATGCGGGCAAATCTGAGTCGTCTTCACTCTGCAGTTCCTTCTGGCCTTTTTGTTTTGTGCTCAGCCCTAAAGCTGAAGGAGAGGAACCTCCAAATACAAACCGTGTTAGTTTTCGTGATTCTTGTGGCATTCAGTGTTAAATGCTTCTGCCCTGAGGCTTGTGGCAATTGGTTAATATTGGTGTCAGTGCCCTTCCCTCCGGTGTATTTTCACTGGGAGAGTTTGAGAGATAAGGGGAGTTGATATGGACACCTTAGTTTGAAAAGAACTTGTTCTCTCTTAACCACTGAAAACCGCATTGCTTTCTGCTTCCCATTCTTCCTTTACTGATAATCTGGCCATCACTCTGGTGTTTAAAAGTCTTGCTGGAGTATGGAGACAAGTAGCCCTATTTCTGTGGTGAGAGAAGCTGCCCCAGAGCATACCCTTGAATTGTCCCTGCACATCCCTCAGGAGTGGCCACTCTTCTTGGGTATGTTGGAAGTGGAAAACCATAAAGCTTTCTAGGAATATATTTTACTCAGGTATTTTTTTTTTTTTAAACCTCAGCACCAGGGTTGGAATTCACTGAAATGCCAAAAGCAGCAAGGGCACCGTTCTCTGTGCCTGTACACACCTGCCCTCTTCTCCCTGGAGCCAGGCAAAAAGCTGCAACCACTCACAATTGGAACGCAGTAAAGGTTGAGTGAATTGTGAGTGAATGAATGAATATGAATATTTGGGAAATTTGATGGAAAGGGGAAAATGCATTTCATCTCATTGGTGGCACTGGGCAATTATTAGAAACATATTTTGAAACCTTTGGCTACCACACATTGGGATCATGCTCCCAGGGAAGAAGTGGGTGAGAGGGGGAAGCTGAGCTTTCTCAGTCAAGATATTGCAACATAATCTCTAATTTGGGAATTGCAAAAAGGCTTGTTTCCTTTTGAAATCAGGAGGTGATCAAAGGAAGGGTCAATCTGTTGAGAATGAAGGAACTTTTTCCAATGTAATTGTAACCTTTAGTCAGAGTACATTCTTTTTTTTTCTGTTTTGCCTACATATGAATAGCTTTATCACGCAGAGTTCAAGCCACTTGTCGTTTAATAAATACAAGATTTATGAATGATTCATTGAGGGCTTTCAGAATCTTTGTTTCTACACATTTCTAAGTCTGGAAAACAGCTAAGCGGCAGGTTAGCAGAATCCGAGGATATACATAAATCTTCAGTGATGGCAAAGAGCATATAACACAGAAAGCTCCCCTGTAGTCCATCGAGCCCAGGGACCCATCTTTATGGACAAACTTAAGTATGGACAGATTCTCCATGAAATACAGTAATGTATGGTATTAGTTGATTGTTACGTGCTGTGTTTGATGGTTAAACATTATTTTTGGTTTCACAAACTTGGGTTTTATGAATGCAGTGAATAAGTTTAAATAACCAACTCTTAATAAACTATAACTTTTAATTTAACAGAGAGGATAGACCTTAGGCCTGAACAAAAATAACCTCATGTGTTGTTATAGGTATTGCAATCTAGTATTAGCTAAATTGAATTTCTGTTTACTTGGATTTTCCTGGTACCTCCTCACCTGGACCTTCCAAGCTCTGTTCCTTCCTTGATTGCCTTTGACTGTTCGTTCTCAGTCTCAGCATCCTTCATGGCTCCTTTTTGTGAGTCTCCCTTGATACACCTGTAACTGCTGGGAGTAGGGGATTCTCTTTCTATCTGTAGCTTCCTGACCGCTCCTGAGCACCAGAGCTCTGTTGCCAACTCTCTCCTAGACCTTTCCTCTCAGCTGTCCCATTGACACCTTAAATCCAATATGATTAGCGGGCTGAGCGCCATGGCTCACGCCTGTACGCTTGTAATCCCAGCACTTCGGGAAGCTGAAGTGGGTGGATCGTTTGAGGCCAGGAGTTTGAGACCAGCCTGGACAACATGGTGAAACTTTGTCTCTACCAAAAATACAAAAATTAGCTGGACGTGGTGGTACGCCTGTGGTCCCAGCTACTTGGGAGGCTAAGGTGGGAGGATCACTTGAACGTGGGAGGCGGAGGGTACAGTGAGCCAAGATCATGCCACTGTACTCCAGCGTGGGTGACAGAGACCCCATCTCGTTCTTCTTCTTTTTCTTTTTTTTGAGATGGAGTTTTGCCCTGTCACCTAGCCTGGAGTACAGTGGCGCAATCTTGGCTCACTGCAACCTCCGCCTCATGGGTTCAAGTGATTCTCCTGCCTCAGCCTCCCGAGTAGATGGGCTTATAGGCTTGCACCACCATGCATGGCTAATTTTTGTATTTTTAGTGGAGATGGGGTTTTGCTATGTTGGCCAGGCTGGTCTGGGACTCCCGCCATCAAGTGATCCACCCTCCTCGGCCTCCTAAAGTGCTGGGATTACAGGCGTGAGCCTCTGCACCTAAAAAAAAAAAAAACATCCAATTTGATTAGAGGTATGACCTGCCGTCATCTTTCTCTTCCCTGTTTCTCATGACAGGTTCT